CACACACACACACACACACACACACACACACACACACACACACACATATTCTAACGTATGAGGAAGTACGAACATATATAAAGAGCTAATAATACCCTAAATAGTATAAGGGCATTATTATTAGCTCTTGATGCGATATTTATCAAGAGTAAATAATATTTATTAGAGCCCTATTATTTACTCACGGATACGCGCGCGCGTGTGTGTATGCGTGCGTGCGTGTATGTGCGGTCGGGTCGTATGGTGTTTAAGGTTTGTTTAGAGGGTCAAGTTTGCGTATAATCAGGTCGCATTTCGCGTGGGCAACAAACATTTACGCGCGCACTGCTGTACAGTATGTATAGGTGACTAGCAAGGGCAGCAGTGTGTGAAGCCAAAACAACAACACTATGCTTTTAGGAGCGCTCTCTTTTCCAGTAAACAAACCAGAAACGGACAGCAACAGTAAGCACCCAAGTCAGTCGTGGTAAACTTGGCTACTTGGCTCTGCTGCCTGGAGGAATAACGTGGATATATTTAAAGCTGCGAGTGCCGAGACTACAATGAAGGCATCTGTCGTTGCATATTTAGCAGGCCTCCCCCCACGCAATTGGTTTACAACGCACGCACACATGTTACACGACTCATTTCTCTAAATGCGCGAGATAAAGAGTGCGTGCTTAATCGAGCCAGAAATTCGCGTCGAAAACGAGCGAAGAAATGCGACCATAAATGCCAATCTTGATATTGATTTATTATTAAAAAATCGGCAAGCAGGAGTTTACTGAGATTGTATACGTACGGCAATTGTGTGAGTTTATTTCAGCATGAAAGTACTGGCAATTAATATATGCGAATTCTGGTTTCTACATTACATGAACTTCAATCCAGTGTCATCCCCACAAGCAACTGCCATCGTTAATCATTCCACAGCAATAATCATAGCCAACCAAGCAAAAAAACAACCTAGTAGCAGCCTAAGAATTGCAGCAATTACTAATAATGCTAATCTTTGATGGACCCTAATTGCTTCTAAACATCTGCTACTTTTTATATCTTAGTGCTGCCACAAATATATACAAAGTATGCATATCCACTAACTTTGTGCACATGCACATTAGGCGCGTTCACACTGGCAGGAATTAGCGGGATGCAAATCTCGGTTTTTGCATCGCGATCGAAATCGCGAGATTTTTACAAGTGTGAATGCAAAAATCTCACTACAGCATCGCGCTGCAAACCGCACTTGCAAACTGCGATATTTGGGAATTAGCGCGATTAATTGCATCGCCGCATGTGTGTGAACGCTCGCGCAAATAATCCCGCTATTTTCTATCCCATCATACGATGTGTTTACGTAAATACGTGCAGACGTAGAGTAGCATACGTTAACGTAACAGAGCTAGAGTAGCATATGTTAACGTAACAGAGCTAGACTACTACCAACGACTGCACTGCCGTGTACGTGGAATCGAACACCGAACTCGAATCCCGGTAGTACATAATTCGCGCGCGCGACCGGAAAGGTTATATTCCGGCTTGATATCAGGCATGCGCAGTTCGATTAATAGAATTATCCCGCTCGGCGATTAGCGAGATATTTCCGCCTGTGTGAACAAGGGCACAATTATCTCAGTATTTAGCATCGCGGTTTTTCTTGTGTGAACACGCCTATTGATAAAGGTGCAGCGTTTACTCGCACTCAAAAACACCAGTGACTTACATAATATTTTACTGATCATACATCAGTAGATATTTGCCATGTTTAGTATATATGCACACATGCACATTTGAATGCACATAGATATCCATTAGGAGATGCATTGGAAGTAAACGAACAGGCAACTTACACGCGATTTGTCATTTTAATAGTTCGACGTGGATATTCGTCCGAGAGGCGAATATCCACGTCGTTTCTTATTTGCCTTGTTAATTCTTGTTTTATGTTGTAAGCGAAAAATAAAACTTATATCTTATAGTTATATCTTATATCAAGGCGTTAACTTGTATAAAAACGTCCGACAACTGGCATGACAATAACAACGAACGTGAATTGTAAATACTATGACTACCGTGAGTTGTTTACATACCGAGTGAACTGTTCTGATATGGCGACTCGCTTGCCGCTTCCTCGAGTACACCAAGGATCTCTTCTTTCCCGACATCGCTATCACCGACTAGCAGGAATTTTAATAAATAATCATGGTTCTTAGACGGCGAACCGCGCGGCAAGCTTGCTGTCGAATAACTGTTGGCCGTGGCTCCCGACGACGAAGCACTGCGACTGTGGTTTGTCAAACCAAGGATCAGCGGAGGTGCAGCGACAGCAACAGTCGAAATGACGCTCATTTCAACTGAAATTGTTACAGTTGGGGTTAATCAACCATGGTTTGATCTCCAATGGTAGTGATATATTACGGTATCAATAATCTGCAGTCATTTCTGCACAGCATATTGCTATAATGGATACACAAGTAACTGCATATAAAGATCCACTACGAACGTAAACGACGTAAAAACAGAAATGGCGGCCTGGGATGGCTAGCGCCACCTAGTAACCGCGAAGTGAGCTAAACAGTAAATGGACGGCCTTGGTTCAGTTCCGAGTACACGATTCTTGCGCTGCCCTCTCTTTCCACTTTCCATTTCTCGTTCGCTCTCATCTTTTAATCGAGCTCACATGGTACCAAAAATCAACTAATATAATATACGAGCTATGTAATCCTCACGCTAAGTATTAGTAAGCGCGGGAACGATCTAAATTCTACAGAGATATAAAAGCGGGACATAAGGCGCAAATTTATTCATTCTATTCAATATATCACTTCACGTCATTATGAATATAGAAGAGCAAATGCATGTCTTGTACTTAAAACATTAATTTACGTGCATCTACTCTAGCGAGGGTGAGAATGTGGCGAAAGAGTTTCTGCAGAAAATCTAGGGTCAGTAGGCCTAAAGTCTAAGACTTTTAATGGGATAATAAAAAACTTTTAAAAGAAACGCTCGAGTCGCCATGCGGTGGCGTGTGATATCATTTCACAGCTCATAAACAGTATAAAAACCCAAAGATCTGATCAAAAGATAAAAGAATAATAAATGTTAATTTAATTTCATATTTGCCTTAAATTTCCGCGAGCCAAGCATAATGTGTAGGCTACGCGCATAGCAGTTTACTGTCCCACCGCGGTACGACCGTGGATGAATGAAATCCTGATGGAATCCTCTTCCACTTCCACAATCAAACTTATAGAATCCTCTCCCACCCCGGCTAGCTCCACCTTCAATTGTATATATATATATATATATATATATATATATATATATATACATATATATATATATATATCAGGAGTAGATAATAGGGATTATAGATAATATAGATAATATAGATCCCTATTATCTACTCCTGATATATATATATATAATCCTCTAGCTCCCACCTCTAGCATCAATTGTATCTATAGAATTATCTACCTTCACATTCAATCGACTCGTATATATAATGTTAGACACATATCGCCACCTATTCACTGAGTTCAATTGAATGAGAGCTACAGCAGTCCTGACCGTATGATCATTGAAGATAAACATCGGGATTCATTTGTCATATGCATGTCAAGCTACTGCGACGAGCATTCAACAAAATATTGTTTTGTTTCGGAGATATGGGTCATGCGCGAACAGAGATCTCCCGATATGCTACCAAGAAATTTGGCACTACTAGGCACTTAATTTATTATTATTAACGCGTTGCTCTCTATCCTCTAAAATAAAAGTGTTATTTCAACAAATTACAGTTCATTTATTTTTTAAAGCTGGTCACACATAGGGTCACACAGCTGTATATATCCAGAGCACGTATTCATGTCACAATTAGATGACATCATAATTTATGATATATATCAGGAGTAGATAATAGGGACTATCCCCATTATCTACTCCTGATATATATACTAGGGTCCCTATATATATACGATAATACGTGTTCTGATATCATGAAGACACACGGCGCCATCTATTGCTTGATTTAAATATAATTAGCGTTGCGTCTAATAGGGCTCCCTAAGGTTATTATAGAGAGTCACCAGGAATTCATTTTACATGTAAATTTACGTCAACGATTTTAATGAAATTTTGTATTATTTCAGAGATATCGGTCAAGCGTGAACAACGCTCTGCTACTGAAAAATTTGGAACGACTATATAGGCACCTCATTATTGACTAGGGGACATGCACCCTCTCTTGTTCAAGAGAGCCCCTCAAAAGAGAGCACCCTCTCTGAGTTGTTTCAACAAAATTTTATTTCATTTGTTATCTGTTATATGTTGTTTTCATAAATCGTTTATAAACACTTTTCACTAGAGATGCAAGTGATTGACATGCTAGCGGTAGATTGTCTGGTCATTCTATTGTAGGCTCGGAATTCCATATTTATTTTTTCCAATCTATCGGGAAAGGAAAGAATGATAAATTCACGCGCTCTCTGCTGTTATTGTTGCTGCATGTCGTGGAACACCAATGATCAGTCATTTTCTTAGCATACAACGGAGTCATTCATATTCCGCGTAGTTTACTCGTATAATCAACCGCTAGTTGGCGCTAGTATCGCCACTGGCCCAGCGGCCAGCATGCCAGTTCCTTCTTTTCGTCAATAATTCTTTGGTCAATGGTCATTGTCATTGCCTACTCTAACCTTATTACCTCGTGAAGATTATTCTTAGAAATCCAAGGGACTGTAACGAAGAAAATGAGAGTCAAGGTTGATTAAATTGATAGGTCAATATTGCGGATTGTAGCCAGTAGTAAGTAGAAGAAGTTTCAATTTTAGTACAACACTGATCTCTTCGTGCAACTGACTGTTTATCACATGTAAACAATTTATTAACATAGATGCCATAGTATTATCTTGAAACACGCCTCCCTAATTCACAATTCTTTAGATTTTGTATGTCCCTGATGATCCGCCCACCCTCGATGTAGTGTTGCCGCTTTCTCTTAGATTATAAGGACACGAGGATTTCGACCTGGATGTATCTGCTCAAGAGGAAAGTCTGGAATATCTATTCAAGTGGTCGCCCTCTTCCAAGGGAATCTATTAATACTTAGGAAGTACGTGAACTCTCTGAATTCTAGGATATTGGGTGGATGTATCACATTTGCTAATCACATGCTCATGAGCGATAATAGCGCCAGCAACAGATACTGACCACACATACAGAGGCTGCTTACACTAAAGCATGTACTGTCTGTGGTAAGTAAATGCGTGTGGGTAAATCTCACTAAACTGCAGCTGTTGATTATTTATTGGTCTTGCCCAGGACCTCGCTGCTGCTGTACCACAGACTACCCAGATAGTCTGCGCGAGACATTGGATTCGGTGAGCTTTCGCATTTTGACATTTGCGTGCTTTTACGTCTGCAGTTTTTGTGTACTCTACATCTAGTAAGTATTTTACTTAATATGTAATACTATTGGAATTTAGCAGATAATAAGTGTACTAATTTTAATTCACTGATATAATGCTATGCTGCTCTAGCATCACATAGCATATTGTATAGCTAATTTTAAACAGGTTTGCATGTATTCAAGTTTGCAAGGGTTTGGTGTAACTTGTTGCGGCTGATCCATAGTGATATAGTGGACGATGTTGCAGTCCATACTAAACTTACTGTGTTGTGATATACTAGATATATTAACTCAGTGAGTCAGGGATTAAGATCTCATATCTAATAAAAATGTAGTTGAAGTTGTCTATCATTATATGTAAGAGTATGGAATCAAACTTCTTCTATAATTCTTACCAATTAAATACTTGATCTTCGTTAGCTACAGTGGGCTTTGCTACTAAGCCATAGCAGGCATTTCTAGTGATATTGAACAATAATGTTTTTACGTAGAAGTCCCAGAATGAGGGAAAACACGCGGTCACGTTTGACATTTACATTAGCGTGTATCTTACGAACTATGGTTTGGTTAGCGGGAAAAATATTGACGCAATTGTAGTTGCATATGTTTAGTCTATGCTAATATTAAATTGTTTTCTGTGAGCTCTGATATCTATAGGCATATTCATCCGAGAAAATAGTTTATATAGTTGATTTTTTTTTTTTTTTTTTTTAAATATAGTTATGTAATTGTTTTCTGGTGTTTATATTAGCATATTCTCGTAAAATAGTTCTATTCTCAACGTATGGGATGATAATTTTGTGGGAAGAAGATCAAGCGGTTTTGCTTGTGCGAAGCCTGCGGAGACTAAGACGAAGATCACCACAGGGGTAGCGAACGAAAATTGGTAGAGACAGAAATGCTATGGCAGGAGTATCACTGAGTAAGTTAAAGACCTCATTATCGAGTTCTGAGTATTCCTGAAGTACTCCGAAGTACTCAAAAGTATCAGAAGTTATCCAAAATATTCTGGAAAGTATTATCCTAAGTATGCAGTATTAAAACTTCTGAATAAGTGTTTGCTTTCGCTACGTACTGCAGTTTATGATTCGCCATCTAGGCGCGCATGTTGCAATAAGCGTAATGTTTTGCTAATGGGATTTATACTTGGTCAGTGATACTGTTGTCACTTACATAATGTTCATTGGGATTTATAGTAATAAGAATTAATGAGATGTGATTAATCCGAGTTTTGACCCGTTAATCTTACAAGTCACGTCACCTACTTGCATCTAGGTGAAACCCAATCACTTGCAGTTCATCTTAACAAAGAAGTCAGACCAGTCTGGTGTCGAAAACTGTCAGGATAACAGGGCCAATGTACTCGGATATATTTCACGAGTAATCAAATATTGTGGAATTCGTACGGCGTTGATTTAAGTAGTGTGTTATTTTCTTTGCGCTTTTGACAGGCGAGGGGCGCGATAGGTGTCAGGTTTGATCGGCGACTGTGAAGGAAGTGTGGCAGGTTTGGGAAATCTTGCGCGGATCTACGTTATGGTATTTCATTGTGCTCCTTCTAAGAAATTATTCTTAAGCGTCTGTTTTACGTAGGTAACATATCGGGGCCGTTGGTCAGAAATTCAATTAGTTTTACGTTAGTTTAACATTAAGTGCTTAGGGTAATGTTAGCTTTAACTTTACTGATGACATGTCTGGACAACGGCCCCAGGTTGTTTGTAGTAACGATCACGATATTTATTTCGATTGGAAGTTCCGTCGTGAATTGTTTTTAGTTAGTGCATGTCGGTGTAGATGTCACCTTTATATTATTATATCTTAGCACAAACATCTGTGCATCAACAGTAGAGATACAAATTAAAATGTTGAAATGAAATTGAGAGATAATCTCCCTAACACTAGCTATTGGCCGGCTAATTCATCGACGAATGAAGGCAGTTTTTTTAAAGGAAACATATTAGAACAAAAGGCATGATCTGAATGTGTAGTTATAGGTAGGCAGTTTACTGTTACGATTTCAGTCTGTGAAGATGTAATGCTCTTGGTGTCTTTCTACAGGGTCTCAGTATCTAGCACATGACTACGAACTGCTAAAGAAACACAAGGTCACTCACTTACTTGGCCTTGGCGTGATCGACACCAACATATTTTCCGAAATTATCTACAAAGGAATAAACATACTCGACATGCCGTCCACTGACATCACGAGCTATTTTGGGGTACTGCTATTGTTTATTGCTCTATGAAAGCTCGATAATATCAAGGGTTAATAATGACATTATTAACTTAATATTAATAATGTTAAATGTTAATGTGAAATGTTAAATGTAAATGTAAATGTTAAATGTTAATCTTAAATATTAAATGTTAATGTTAAATGTTAACATGTTAAATGTTAAATGATAAATGTTAATGTGAAATGTGAAATGTTAAATGTAAATGTAAATGTAAATGTAAATGTTAAATGTAAATGTTAAATGTTAATCTTAAATTTTAAATTTTAATGAGAAATGTTAAGATGTTTAATGTTAATAATGTCATTATTAACCCCTGATAATATTAAAGCAGCTTGAGCTATGGAGTGACGTTATCATTCGACAGGTGGTGGCGTGAAAGTGTTAAACTTTGTTTGCTGTTGCGTTGAGGTAAACGACACTGTGTAATGTGATCCTAGAGAGACAACATGATTATGGGAGAGGAGCTGTTAGCTACAGGTTGGCACTCGTAACTTTCGTCTGAGTGGTCTTGGTCATATGGATAATAGCCAAGACTCTTATATGTGCCAGGAGGAGTCAGGAGGGCAAAACTTAGATTATTGGTTTTAAATAAAGCCAGAAGGATAGCTAAAATGTAGATGCTTACAATGGATGAACCTCGCAACAAAAAGCCTACATACACTTACTGTGAGCAGCATACTTGCAGTAGGCAAACATCACGAAATGTTCTTAGTGATCCAGAAATGGGCCAAAAAGGGGCCGACTCAAAAATGGTTATAGATCTTTCCCATTTTTTTTTACAAATTGTATCACTGTACATTATATAAATCTGTAGGCAATACATTATATGTACCAAACAAAACAAACGTTCAACATAAAAGGTATCTCCACACAAGCATGCCCGAGCATGTAGACACCATGCTGAATTTGTAAAAAGACCCCCCTCAAAAAAAGAAGCCTACCTACCTACCAAAACTTTTCAGCCTGGGTCGGGTGAGGGCAAACAAAGATTCTTTTAATTGTGGCCCAACATGGTTCGCTCGTCAATCATGCGTCCGTCCGCGTTCGTCCGTTTCAGGAGGCGTTTTCGTTCATCGACGAGGCTCGCGCGAAGGGCTGCGTGCTCGTGCACTGCAGTACCGGCGTGTCGCGCGCCCCCGCCGTCGTCGTCGGCTACCTCATGAAGCGCGCCGAATACAAGACGTTCCGCGAGGCGTTCGACCACGTGAAGGCGCGGCGGCCCGCGACGGCGCCAAACGCCGGGTTCATGCGACAGCTGTCCGAGTACGAGGAGAAGATTCGGACGAAACCCGTGCTGTACTCGTACTGGCGCAGCTCCTGCTCTTACCGCGTGCGCATCGCCCTCGCTATCAAGGGCGTGGACTACGACTACAAGGTGGGCGCGTGGGCGGGGGGTGGAGGAGGGGTTGGTGGCGGAGGGAGGGTTGTGGGGGGAGGGGGTGCGTGGATGTTAACTGTCCGTCTGTAGACGGATTTCCGTCTTAAGAAAAATTCGAGGGGAATTTTTTTTTTCGAATTTTTTAAAAAATTGGAAAATTAAAAAAGGGGAATTGTATCTTATGATATTAAATATGTATGCTTGTTGTCTATTCTTGTATAACAGTGTTATATCCAATATATCTGGGGGGGGGCAAGGAAGTGGGAGGAGTTGGGTGTTGGTTGATGGGGGCAGGGGTGACCGCGTAACAGGCACGGCGAATGCGTGATGGATCGGAATCGTCGGTCGGAGGTTTTTTGCGGGCTTAAATTAAGGAGATAGAGCAAGATTACCCCGTGTGAGATGGTTTGACTTACAGAACTACCCGTGTAACCACGTATGGTTTCCTCCTCCCCTCCTCTCTCTCCTGCAGACAGTTGATGTAAAACACCTTTCTCCTTAGTTCTGCCCTCTTCTCTCTTCTGCAGGCGGTTGATGTAACCCACCTTCCTCCTCAGCTCTAGCTTCCCTCTCTCCCTCTTCTGCAGGCGTTGATGTACCCACCTTCCTCCTCAGTCTAGGTTCCCCTCTCTCCCTCTTCTGCAGCGGTGATGTAACCACACCTTCCTCCTCAGTTATAGCTTCCCTCCTCCCTCCTCTTCCGGCAGCGGTTGATTGTAACCCACCTTCCTCCTCAGTTCTAGGCTCCCCTCTCCCTCCTCTTCCGCAGGCGTTGATTTAACCCACTTCCTCCTCAGTTCTACTTCCCCTCTCCCTCCCTCTTCTGCAGCGTTGATGTAACCCACCTTCCTCCTCAGTTCTAGCTTCCCCTCTCCCTCCCGTCTCTGCAGCGGTTGATGTAACCACTTCCCCTCAGTTCTAGCTTCCCCTCTCCCTCCCTCTTCTGCAGGCGGTTGATGTAACCCACCTTCCTCCTCAGTTCTAGCTTCCCCTCGCCTCCCTTCCGCAGGCGGTTGATGTAACCCACCTCCCTCAGTTCTAGACTTCCCCCTCTCCCTTCTGCAGGCGGTTGATGTAACCCACCTCCTCTCAGTTCTAGCTCCTCTCTCCCTCCCTCTTCTGCAGAGCAGTTGATGTAACCCACCTTCCCCTCAGTTCTAGCTTCCCCTCTCCCTCCCTTCTTCCGCAGCGCAGTGAACTTCTAGAGGACATGAGCGACGATACCGCAGCCTGAACCCGATGGCGCAGTTCCCACGCTCGTTATCGACGGACAGACCCTGACACAGTCCACGGCCATCATAGAGTACCTGAATGATAACGTGCCTGCGGCGGCCGTTGCTGCGCCAGCCAACGCCTGGAGAAATGAGCCCAGGTCGTGTGTGTGAGAGAGGGGGAGAGCGGGGAGAGGCGAGAGGGAGAGGAGAACGCGGGAGGGGAAGAGGGAGCGGGAACACGTGCTGCGGCCATCCGTGTTTTCCCGCCAAGCCTGAGAAGAGAGCGCGCAGTGCGGCTGTGTGTGAGAGAGGGAGAGAGGGATAGGGAAGGGGAAGGGGGAGAAAGAAGGGAGAGGGGAGGAGAGAGGAGAGGGACCACGGTGTCCTGCGGCCACCGCTGCTTCCCGCCAAGCCTGAGAAGAGAGCCCCGAGGTACATGTGTGTTGAAAGGGGACGAGGGAGAGAGAGCGCCACGGTGCGTGTGTGTGAGAGCAGGGGGACCATGAGGGAGAGAGAGCCCAGGTGCGTGTTTGTGAAGAGGGGCGAGAGAAAGAGAGGGAGGAGGCAGAAGGGAGGAGAGAAGAGAGGAGAGGAGGAGGAGGGAGGCGAGAACGAGGGGGAGGAGGGAAGGGAGAGGAGAGAGAGACCCCACGGTACGGCTGTGTGAGAGATGAGGGGGAAGAGAGAGAAGGAGAGAGAGCCCAGGTAACGTGAAGAGAGAGGGGAGAGAAAAGAGGGAGGAGGAGAGACAGGGGGAGAGAAAGAGAGGAAGAGAGAGAGAGAGAGACATGTCTCCGGCACGCGCTGCTGCCCGGCGCAAAGTCTGAGAACCAGAGCCCAGGTACATGTTGTGTAAAGAGGGGGAGAGGGGGCGAGAGGGGAGGAAGAAGGAAGGAGGGTAGGGGAGGGAGAAAGAGGCCAGGGTACGTGTGTGTAAGAGAGGTGAGACGGCGGGAGAGAGCAGAGGAGCAGAGAGAGAGAGAGAGAGAGAGAGACGAGGAGAGAGCAGAGAGAGAGAGAGAGAGTAGAGAGAGAGAGAGAGAGAGATGAGAGAGAAGAGAAGAGAGAGAGAGAGGAGAGAGAGAGAAGGAGAGGAGAGAGAGAGGAGAAGAGAGAGAGAGAGAGAGGAGAGAGAGAGAGCGAGAGAGAGAGAGAGAGAGAGAGAGAGAGAGAGAGAAGAGAGAGAGAGGAGAGAGAGAGAGAGAGAGAGAGAGAGAGAAGAGAGAAGGACGAGAGGAGAGGAGAGAGAGATAGAGAGAAGAGAGAGAGAGAGAGAGAGAGAGAGAGAGAGAGAGAGAGAGAAGAGAGAGAGAGAAGAGAGAGAGAAGAGAGAGAGCGAGAGAAGAGAAGAGAGAAGGAGAGAGAGAGAGAGAGAGAGAGAGCAGAGAGAGAGGAGGAGAGAGAGAAGAGAGAGGAGAGTGAGATACAGACAGAGAGGGAAAGAGAGAGATAGAGAGAAAGAGAAAGAGGTGAGAGAGAGAGAGAGAGAGCAGAGAGGAGAAGAGGGAGAGAGAGAGAGATGAGAGAGAGACGAGAGAGAGAGAGAGAGAGAGGAAAGTGATAGCCGCAGTTGCGCTCTTGCTGCAAATTCATCATGCGAATTTCACACTAACGATCCGTCGCCAATCATTCATCTCGCGTCACGCGGGCGCGTGAGCACGAACAATCGGTCGCTAGTTAATTAATTATTAATTAATTAATCGTTTTGCAGGTGCGCGAGCACTAACGATCATTTGCTAATTAATTAATTATTTAAGTAATTAATTAATCAATCGTTTCGCAGGTGCACGAGCACTAAAGATAGGTTTAATTAATGAATTAATTAAGATTAGGTCATTAATTAATTAATTTATTAATCGTTCTCGCAGGTGCGCGCGATCACCGAAATGATCAACTCTGGCATCCAGCCGATCCAGAACCTCGGCGTCCTCAAGAAAGTCGCCGAGATCGGCGGCGACAAGGTCGCGTGGGGTCGCCACTGGATCGAGCGCGGATTCGTGGCGCTCGAGCGCACCCTGGCGGCGACGGCGGGCAGGTACTGCGTCGGCGACGCCGTGACGATGGCCGACTGCTGCTCGTGCGCAGGTGTACAACGCGGCGCGGTTCAACGGTGAGCTGTCGGCGTAGTCCGCGACGATAGAGCGGGTGTACGGCGAGCTGGTGAAGCTGCCGGCGGTGCAGGCCGCCGCGCCAGACAGCATGCCCGACGCCGCCGCGCCGTAGGTGCGTGCGTGCGTGTGAGTGATGCGTGAGTGGCGCGTGCGTGCGCGTGTGTGTGTGCATGCGTGCGCGTGCGTGCGGTGCGTGCGTGCGTGAGTGGTGCGTGCGCAGTGTGTGTGTGCAGCGTGCTGCTGAATCAGAGTGCGTCCGAGTGTGCGTGCGTGCGGTCCGTGAGGTACTGCGCGTTAGTGCGCGTGCAATGCATGCGTGCGTGCGTGAGTGTGCATGATTTGACAGCGTAATAATAATACAATAATACAATACAAATTCATAATGATATCAGATACTCCCCGACTACAACAGGTCGGTTCCGAGCGGTCGTCGTAAGTCGATTTGTTCGTAGTACATTACTATACAGTATTGTACAGTATGTAGTATATGGTACTGTGAACATAGAGTAACGCTAGTAATAGTGTTACATAGTGTAAAACATAAATCGTCAACACAGGAGCTTGGCGAAAGTCAAAAATAGGGGGCGATTGTGTCATTTTACTTCACCAACATTGACCACATATATACACTAATGGACTTACAGGGCAAATTGTTCGTATCACGAAAAGTTCGTAGTCGGGGAGTCTTCTGTACATAATGACAGTTTGTCATCTACTCCCCCTGAGTATGTTAGTGAAATACAGTAAAAACCCACGTCTAAGAACCTGCATTGTTTTCCAAGGAGGGCTTAAAAAGGTATCTTATATAATTGGTGTGTTAACTGGCTTTTAGGCCTATTTTAGCTTCTTAATAGGTTCTCTTTCTCGAAGAAAAAAGGTGCTGTTGCGGTTAGAAGTATTGGTGCGGCCATTGTCTTATATAATCTACACTGAATATAATTATGTCTGAAAGACTCGCAATCTAGAAAATACAAACCATATCTAGGTTATCTGATTTCTTTTTATATCGCCTTATACATAAATAAACACAAACAAAAACAAAACTAGATTAGATGCCTGATATGAGCTTGTTTTTAGAGTTTGATTTATAAATGTTTAGTGGTTAACTGAAAGTTTTTCAATGTGAACCTTTCAAATTTTAAGGCTAAAACATGTCTTACGTCAATGGGGGTCTACATGGAGAAATCTTAGCCTAACAGGTTCTTAGTCCTTAATAACTAGGTTCTTATACCCGCGGGTTTTCACTTTACTATATCTACTGGATACTCGATACGTAGACTGTATGTAGACTGAAAATATACTCTGTGTCGGGGAACTCCCCTTTATTAGTTATTCATCTGTTAGGCAGCTGCTTCCCAACTTTATATGTCATTAATGGTCCATCAATAACATATATAATATATATGGTATGGTCCAGATATTAGTTTGTGGTTAAATTTGTCATGTTAGGTTAGGGTAGGGTTCGGGTTAGGATTATTCAATCATTAATCATTAATGATATCAAAGTTGGGAACACTCCTAATGGAGCGTTAGCCTCGCGTCCCATGCCGCGGGTGCAGTAGAGATCTGAAGCGTGATGCATGACAGGTTCAAATTAACATGTTCTATATGGGTAGCATCGGAGAATTCATGGCCATTATAGAATGCTTGCTTGCATGTATTTCCTTATAAAATATTATAAATTCCTTATACGTTAGTAGATCTGATATCTATACTTCTGCACAGGCACTAGTAAATACATTGAATAAGTTCTATGAAAGAGTTGATCAGGATGTACTTGGTGCTTCATTAGGTACAGATATATTGTTGTGCGTCGTGATCATTAAACTTGTATATTTAGTGTAGGAGTTGCTTGGGAACGCAACATTGCGTTAGGGATGTTGTAAGTGTAAGTGTACGATGTAAGATTTAGCAAGTGTCTGCTGCATGTGCTGAAAAGCTGTGCCAAATATCTTTATAGTGAAATTTATTACGATATTTATGAAAATGTCCTACGGTTTTCAAAATTAAAAACAATCAATACTGGCGTGCGCAATTGCTATATGCTAATGTAACGTGTGAATGTAAAAAGTAAGAATTGTAAG